GGGGGGGGGGGGGGGGGGGGGGGGGGGGGGGGGGGGGGGGGGGGGGGGGGGGGGGGGGATAGACCAACGCGCTGCTAGAGGTTGGTGTTGTGGGATTTGAATGGGTAGGAAAGTACAAACGGTAGTGTGGGCTAATGCCCAGAGAAAAGTGCGGGAGATGCAACTCCCCACGGAAGGACAGAACAGGGGACAGGATCTAGTAGCCCCTGCTTTAGCAGCTGATCCTGGCCCCATCCTAGTCAGTCCTCAACCTTCCCTTGGCAACAGCTACTGCTGTTCCACACGAGTTAATAACAAGTGAGTTCGTCTTCACGGGTCTCTCAGATTGCACCGCGCGAGAATATCCTTTACACTTGGCGTCGTCGGCAGGACGAGGCCCAGCGTGGTTTCTACGCTGAGAGGAGGAGGAAGAAGACTGCCGATGGCGTCTACCCTGATTGTTGTTGCGTCCATCTGAACCCTTACGCCTGAAGGATCGCACGCGACCTTGCTTACGCCTAAAAGCAGCAGAGCCGTCATTGAGGCGACCGACTAGAATTCGTGAAGGGAGAACCACATTGCCTCATGGAATGGTCATCACCCGAGCAGTTCAGACAGCGGTTTTTGTTTTCGCGGAAGGCTTGCGAACGAGCCTCTTGTGTCAACAAAGGAGTCCAAAAAAAAGAATCATCGGTGTTACGAAAATTGGCGGTGAGGGCGTATACATCAGACCAGTCGGCTTGCGAAGCAGGCCACGAGTTGTAGTTGTGCGTCAAAGGATCCGTGGCTTGAGGTTGCACGGGCATAACTACAGGGTTCTGTGCGGAGCCGGATGCCCACTGGCCCGAAGACGCAGGGGCGCGGTGGTTGGACCGGCGAGGCTGCAGAGAGCCACGGGTCGAAGTCAACGAAAAATATGATGAACCACCGATATCCGGGGTTTTATTAGTCGCCAAAGGCGCGAACGCCTCCCAAATAACCGCAATCGACTCAAAGGGAGTGACCGCAGTGGCCAAAACACCCGGGTACAAAAGCGGAGACAGAGTCGGAAACTGCTTGTCGACCGATTTTCGCACTATTTCGAGAACCATGGATACACCAGGGGCCAAAGTACGCTCAGAGCCCGAAGATAATCCACGAAAGGAGTACCATCTGCTACGCCAAATTGTTGCAGCCGCAAAAACGACTCTTGGCGGTCTCCGACGTCAAATTGCTCCGCCAGGTGACGCAACAATAGCTGGAAAGCGTCTGGTCCAGGGGCTCCTCCATCCAAGCTCCGTTTCACTTGCTGAAAGAAATCAGTAACGGCAAGGACGAGATCGGCGGTAGAGGGCTTGTCGGGGGTGATCGCACTCAAAAGTTTTTTTTCGAGAGGACGTTCCCATCCACGCACAAAATCGGCGCCTGTCAAACCTTCACTCTGCTCATCACACAACAGCAAAATATCGGACAAAGCCGTTCTTGTTGTGCGAATAAGCTGCTGATAGTCATCTCCCGGCAACAGAGTAGAGGGGTAGGGCATGGTAGCGACATTCTCAACTTTTTTCAAGTTGAGGGTGATGTACGCTCGTTGAACGGTAGCTACATGAGCATTACGAGCAGCTGCATCAGTCGCATCGATCGATGCTTGACGAGTGTTTGCTGTGCTAGAAGAAAGTGGCAAAGCACGATCATCGGAGACAGCGGGGGGTGCGGCGACGGCTACCGAAGCAGCTGTGGGGGC